TGTTTGGTATTAGAGAGTCAGCGTTGATGGTTTCTGTGGTATCCGTAGCTGCATCAGTGTCCCCCTCTCCCTCTTGCACATATGGAGCTAAGCCTACAAGCTAGTTCAGGCAGTCAACTCAAGCTGCGTTGCTATAGGTAGGTTCATAATTCATGAAGGCTAAAGTTGCTCAGGAAATATTTGCCATGTCCAGCTTAAAATACAATAAGTGATTTCAGCCACTGGATGTCAGCAGTCAGTTATAAGGCGGTCTGATGTTATTTAAGGATGTGACAGTCTGAACTGCTTTAATCAAAGTCCAAGTGTTCATATGGAGCTGTCAGCAGTGAAGGACATGGCTGTTATCACAATACTGAGCCATATAACAGTCCCACTGTCCCTGCTTTTGGTCTGTCTGATTGGTCAGTCCTTAGACAAATGGAGTCCTTAGAGAATAGAGATATCAGAGAACCAAAATGTGTTAGACAACCTACACACATCAGCTGACCGCTCTCACTTCTTCCCTGCTACTGACTGCAGCCACTTTTACTTCCTGACTGTTTGGAGGGCTTCCTGAAACAAATGTTCACATTCAGAGCAGTTAGTCAAAGCAAGGGGACTTTATTTGTACAGCAAATACATTAGAAAGTATAAAAGCACAATACAAAGCAAAGTATAATAAAAAAGAATAGGTTCGAAAAAAAAAATATTACAAAAATAAGGTCCTCCCCTCTCCTACACAAGAAAACACTGAAGGCACATTACATTACTACAGTGAAAAAAGCATAGCATATCATATCAGTGGTTAATATCAGTGATCTTCCTGTATAAAAGCAATACAACAATTTTAACGTAGTACGAGTACAAATCCTGTATTCAAAATGTTGCTAAAGAAATAGTACAAAAGTATAGGTAAAATAGGATCCATTAGGATTAAAATAATTCATCAACATTGATGTTATTTTTAATAATAATAATAATACATTTTATTTATAAGCGCTTTTCTAAATACTCAAAGACACTTTACATAAAAACATAAAAGCAGCATGGAAAAAAGTCCCATGGAAAAACAAAACTAGACATTAGTCCATCTCTAAATACTGTCTGTGGCTCTCAGCCCCAGGCCCATTGGTTCCTACTGAAGACACAAATCTTTATAAATAGCTCACAAATAGTACTTTCATTTTTAAAAAGTCTCAATAATTTCAGTAACTGCTTATTGTAGTTTTTAATCAAACATTACTCTATCAGATGGAATTGAGAATATTTTCCACTCTTCAGTTTTCAATCTAAAAATACAAAAGAGTGACCATTATTGTTGCAGATGCCCGGTAGCACTGAGCTCATGTTGCCACTGAGGAATTCTAATATTTTTCACAACACAAACTGAGTCATCTACCTCCAGAACTGGAGACTGTAGGCGGGAAGAAGAAGAAATAAAAGACATTAAAACAAACTCAGGTGCAGCCTGTTGTGTGAAACATTGTGAGACATTAACTTAAAAATGAGTACTTAAAATAAATTCAGACCTACCAGAGTCCTTTTTCATTGTTAGCCTGCCTGAAATCCAAAAGCAAGACACAATTAATAGCTTTAGCAGTTAGCGACCATCCTGGAGGCAGACAACAATGGGAATCGGTAGGTATTAGGTAGTTATATCAGGGATTCAAAATAAGCCCTAACCTGTGGTCACAAGTCCAGCAACTGTTAATAACGATAATAATAGAGGTATATATGCATAATAATTCCTTGAAGAACTTCCACAGACAACGTTACTGCTCGTACTTCCTTCTTTGACCTTTACTTGGGTTTCTGGACAGCTGTTGGAAAAGAGACATAAAACAGCTTCAGTCAGCACAATACAGAGAATATATATTAAACATGTTCCATTATAACTTGTTCCACTGCAGAATGACTGCAGAATGACTGCAGAAATCAACACAGTAAGTGAACACATGCTGGTCCTGCAGAAACAAAGATGGGCTGACAGCACAGAAATAACTCATTTTCCCACATACCTGTTATGTTCCAACCAGCTCTCGTTTTACCATATGCTGCTTTCATCCTGCACCTCTACCCACCTCTCTAGTGTTCAAAGTACTCAAAGTACTGCACGCACAGTCACACACACTTAGAGCGCGGTATCAAGAGAAATGTAGGCTTCAGTAACTTGTGCAAGGACAACTCAACATGCAGTGGGAGGAGCTGCGGATCGACCAGCAACCTTCTGATTAGCAAACGACCCACTCTACCTCCTGAATCACAGCCACAGTAGGCTTCCTCTGTTCCAGCTGTCCATTGAGGAGCAGCAGTCTCCCTTTGTTTTGATTATTAAGTTTTAGATATGTACATGTGCGCCCATCCAGGGGAGAAGTCCCCGCCCCCACCTGAGCCCCACCGCACCACCACAGGGCCACACAGGGAGCCACTGCCCACAACCTCCCCTAGCCAAGCCCCTCTTCCCATCATTATCAATCACCTTCCAACAACACCGATCACAATCCCTGTTGGTTGTGAACTTTGTTCTCCACATTGAGCATCAGTTGAAACAGTTCCTGCTTTTATCAGAAGATTCATTGATTCACATCTGGAATGACAGAGGGAAATCTTTTACAGGAACATTAGTAGGATCCAATGAATTCACTGCTGTTGGAAGAATCCAGGTGTCTGATGTGAAGCTTCACTTACTGTGTGTGTGGCTGACAGGATGGAAATGTTCCATCTGAATATGTTCCAGCACTGCAGTCAGAGCACTCAGTGTCTGTTAATGCTGTTCCTGTACAGACACAAACCAGTTCAACAGAGACATTATGAAGGGATCAAAGTGTTAGATGAATCAGTACAGAGAGGGTCCATACTGGGTTGGTCAATAGCTGGTTGGAACAGCTGGTTGGAACAGCCAGTTGTCATTGGGGTTAGTTTCCTTGAACTTTGGCATTCTCATTCAAACCTTACCTTTAATCTGAAAGTGAAGAAAGCTAGCTCTCTCTCTCCTAGAACTTTAAAAATGCAGCAGAGAGAATCATATAGGTGGCTACAGAGTGTGTGACACAAGAGGTAACACTATCCACTGGAGCTTTTACAGTCACTAGAAGCACATTCATAGCCATGTGTAAAGGTATCTGTGTTGTAATGTCAGCTAAGCCAGTGGTTCAAGAGGCCAGCTCTGGGACAGTGTAGGCTTCAGCTATGTAGCAGGCCATAGTATACAGAGTTGCGAGAGGTTTTATAGGAGTAGGGGGGGTATGTAGAATTCAAATACTTTGCACTAAGATGTCAATATGTGGACCTGTATCAATCAACAACACTACTTAATACTCATATACACAGGTTTTTTATACAAGGTTTAGTTGTTAAGTCAGCACAAGTAAACCCACCTTTCTGACTGATGTATTGTCCTGGTTGACAGAGTGTGTGTCTCTGTGCTGACATACAGCCGTCCTCTGTAGAGTCCAAACAGTAGAATCCCTCCAGTGGTTCACAAACTGTATCTGATGTTGTTGTACATGACGTCTTTATCTTCAAACCAGAACCTGTCAACACATACACAGGTTACACATGGAGACACAGAACTTTTATTTCACTTAATCTACTGCAGACCAACATGCTACTTTGTTTATAACTTAAAAACCATCTCCAAGTCTTTATGAAATCTACAAGGTAATTGAATTGTCATTTTACTTTACTTTGATTCATTACTAGTCCCACTGATAAAAACATATAAACCTGATCATTGCTGTTTAAACACTGAATAAAGGAAAGTCTCAGCCGATATTAACAGCTGATACCTTCACTACAAAAATACAGCTTGTCTTCATGTTGAATGTGTTGTGTCTTACTTGTGTGAAAAGAGCCTGTTAGGACACTCACAATAATTCAGAACACATGAGGTCTTTGTTTCTGCATGTAGTCTGTTATTTCCATAAATACAAAAGCAGTAATGTGCAGCAACTCATCAAAATGAGTCTCTGCATCTTCACACTGACAACCAATCTTCAACAGTGTGGTCAGTTCTTCCACAGCATTAACAGTGGGACTTGCAGTAATAAGCCTACTTACTGCCTTTAAATCTTAGTCACATGTTTCTACTAATAACCAGGGAATATGAACAGAACTCTACCTGCAATACAGACTGTACAGGAGTAACATTGTGTCCGTACTGTAGGCTGATTTATGAAGGTTCCCTCAGTGCAGGACAGACAGGAAGTACTCCTGAACTCTGTGCAATCTGTTTTAACTCGACTTCCTGTTGGAGAGAAAAACTATTCAATTTCAATGTTTCTATTAAAATGAAAATGTATCATCTTGAGAGTAAAGTGCATGTTGTGAGCTTGGCAAAGTGACATACACTGCTGTCTACTACAGTGTCATTCTTCTTTCTACCACCAGATGAAGCTCAAGTTTAAAAAAATACAAAACAATATATAAATGAGAGCTTGTTGTTTTACTGTTGGAATAAAACTCCAGTCAGAGTCCTTCACAGATACATTTCACTGGTGAACATAAACAGCACCAACCATGGGAGTCAGACTGACTCCACTGATCTGCACACAGTGTCTGCACCTGGCAGTAGAACTAAAGACTCCATATGGAACTACCAAAGTGAAATATCCTTCAATATTCAACTGGATCTTACCAGGAAGACACTTAGGACAGCATTCATTCCCTCTCTGATACTCTGATGGATGACATTGTAGTGCATGTCCTCTGAAGATATTCATCACAAGAATCTGTGAAGAGTAAGAAAGAGATTTTAGTTCAACCTTTGCAGGTGAGTTATAGCAGGAAGTCACATGATAATGAGGTCACATTTGTGTCATTGGAGCCATAAGAGTAAATAACTAAGCAACTAAGCAAATAAAAGCTGACTGTAATAACAAATGATTTTACCAGCAATGGTGCAGCTGTCAAAGGTTTTCTTCCAAACATCATTTTCTACTGCTGGATCACAGTTTTCATGGACTGAAGACGTCATCTCACTGAGAGTAAAATCCAACAGGAGGACACCATCTGGAAACTGAAAGAACACATATTCATGTAGAGATCACAGATTAGAGATTACTGATGAACAAATTAACTTGGCACCATTAATGTAAGATCACACACACATACACACTTCGATTTGTCCTTGAACACAACCACACACATAGAGAGGAAACTCAAACTTCCTGTTCCACATGATCCCTCTCTGACCAACAGGGGTTTCATGACCAGTAGAACTTTCTGTTAGAACAAAGACCCTCATTCTTTCTGCCATGAAACTACACAAGCACACCTCATACCCTCCCACACAGACACACCCCATTAAACCACTGCAATGAACACCAGACATCTTAAACATGATGTTAATGAGAAACCTGATTAACACAGCCAGACTTGTGTTGTACAAACCGGATTGGTTTATGTTTGGTTTATAGCCTGCAATACGCTTACAGTGACTGTATCTGTATATGCATACAACTGGGTGAGAGCCCGACAAACCTCTGGCAACAGTGGCAGCAACCTTCCCGATATAGACAAGCCTTACGACTTCCAAATATCTGTTTGAGGAAAATAAGACTCTTAAGGACAAGGCCTTTTCTAGAAAATGGCCTTCTTTCTTACGTAACCGATAATCTTGATCTTACGTTAGCTCGGCAATAAGAGTTCTAGCGTTGCCCAAACAACACACACCCACACAACAGGGTTCAACAGTGTTATATATGGAATGTGTTACCTTCTTTAAAGAAAATATAGCAGAAAAACAAGTACTCACTGTTTCGCTGCGACACTGGGGATCAGGAATTAACTTAAATTTCACTTTCGAAATAAGTTTTTTTCAAAATAAAAGCACGTCGTTTATTGCAGTCCTCTTTCCTAACGGTAGAGTTCTCCTGTCGGTCTGGTCTTCTAACAAACGGACTACAGGGACTATAAAGTCTAATTGAACGATCTTCTGTAATCAGCACCCAACACAGCAAAGTCATCCAATGGTCAATCCCAATCTCCACGGAATGCGAGGGGCTCATCTCATCTTCATCCGTTTATCCGGGATCGGGTCGCGGGGGTAGCTGGTCCAGCAGAGGACCCCAAACTTCCTTTTCTATGGCCACATCTGCCAACTCTGACTGGGGGATCCCTAAGCGGTCCCAGGCCAGTGTGGAGATATAATCTGTCCACCTGGTCCTCCGTCTGCCCCGTGGCCTCCTCTCAGCTGGACGTGCCGGGAACACCTGGACTGCGAGGGGCGTCCCCGATAAATCCGCGGGGACTTAAGGCTGCCCCACTGTAATGTGGAGTGCATGAGGGTTCTCCCAGAGATCATAAAGTACAGCGGTAGTCGAGAAGAAAAAATCGTCTGTCCATTGTATATTCCTCTCTCCTCTGTGTCTCTCATCCTCTCCTCTCCTCTCCTCGCATCCCTCCCACCAGAGATGGGAGCACCCACCCCCTCTGTAATCTGATTGGCCACCCCGTATGCCCCCCCACTGGTCATTGACTCGGGGTAATGTCAATCATTGCGCCAAAGCTCTTTACCGACGCTGCATGTTAAAAGGGAAGCAAAGCCGAAACCTTGTGTGTCTACACTGTGTTACTACTGATATACTTACAACTGTAAGGTTTTCATCGCGGGGTTTGCAGCTTTTCGATGATGTTCACGTTGCGTAATTACGTCACGTCAAAACGTTCCCATGGCAACAGGGGAAAATGGCTGCTCTTGAGTGAAGTAAACGCAACAAATGTTTAACTTTCTGTTGAGATATATATGACTTTTCTGCAACGAAAATGTATAGATTATGACATCATGCAAGCCCCGCATATTTTGCGCGGAAATTAGCAATTTATGCGGTTAAAGTGCGGCGTCTTTGAGAAAAATGCGGCCCCGCATAAATATGCGGACTTTGGCTGATTATGCATTGAATTATACGATCGCATAATCGCGTTTTTCTGGAGGGACTGGAATGAACTCGTGTAACTTCACCAGTCACAGACTATTTTGCAACGTGATGCTCCTAGGTGCACCGAGGTAAGAACAGAACTCTACAGCTTCTTTAAGACTGTCACAACAAGGTTTTGCCAACTTCTGTTCCATTTGGGTCTAATTTGGTTCAGTTTGCATGGGAAACTGTTCTTGTGTGTTTTACTTTAGTTTGCTCTCCATCTGGACAAACGTTAACATCTCTCCACTGTTTCAGTAACGTTAGCAATTACTAATTGCATCCGTTGTTTTGCGTTTTGTGACATGAACAACAACAGAGTATCCTATCATTGTTGCCACTGTGATGTTGGTACAGTACAAATAACATGTTGCTGTGTTCACTGTACAGAGCTAGAAGCACTAACTTCTTGCTAACTCTGTACAGCAAACCTGCTAGTGTTCTGTGTGTTACCACTTGGTAAGAGTACACCCAGCAGATTTAATGTGGCCAAGAAAAGCAAGATGAAAACAAACAGTGTGTAACTGTACAATATCAATTGAAGTGATGGCCCATATTGTAGTGGGCGATCAGTGGCAACTTTCATTTTGTTACTTTTGGGCGGCCACCCCAGATTAATTGTTGTTACCCCCTGTGTCCCCCACCAGAAAATTCTCTGGACCCGCCCCTGCTTTGGATTCCACAGGTGTGGCGAATCCTGAATCAAGGCTCCACTGTGGAGAAGCAGAGGTGGTAAAGGAGGGAGGGAGACGCCGCATACTGGGACGCTTTCGGGAGCGAACTGCTGTATGGCACCTCTCCAGACTCGGAGGAGATCATGCTCTACTATGACGAGGTAACTGGTTTATCCAGGTAACTAACCCTGGGCGAGACCCCTTCGAGCGATTACCTATTTTTGTTATCCATTTCACACAATTCAGAAAAACAAAAATGTGCATGAACTACAGGCCTGTATTTATTATATTGTGATTGAAATGTTCGTTATTTAGAAGAAAGTCGAGGTGTGACTGACTTACAGTGGATCCCTTGTCCCCCCCTTGTCCGTTCCATTAGTGAGACCCAGAGGTGAACTGTCCCCCTCCCCCTTCCCCTTCTCACACAGCTTCGGTGCAAGGCACCTTCTCGGCAAGCAGGGCGCTTGCAGCTGTAGGGGGCACCAATTTGCCAATTCCCCCCCACAGTGATATAATAGAACAGATTGATAATAGAAAACCTCTTCGCGGGCGCAGAGGATTTTTTTTTGGTAAGTAAAAGATTGCGGCGACTGGCTGCAAGACACAGGCAAAATGCGCAGGGAAAATGTCTAGCTGTTGCCTGATCCAAGAGCTGATTGGATCTTTGCTTCAACCACAAACACCATGTTTTATATAAAATCCTGAAGTACTGTGTGATTGTGATATTCAACACTAGATTGTAGGCTCTTCCTTATTATGTGCAATGAAAGTTTAATCTGTTAACAAACGCATCTTGTCTGGTTGATGACAAAGTTTATTTGTATCTGAACGTGGTCAGCAAACTACAGAAACTCTACAGATCTAACTGATGCAAACACTTCTGCAAATATATACTGTCAATAGTGTATACCTGTATATTCTTCAAAGTCAAACTGTCATCATTCACACAGCTACACATTCACATCGCACCGCTGTCCCAATGCATTTCTCAACCCTACTTTAGAGAATTGTACAGCAAGAGTTCATCTTATTCCACATTCCTACAGACTGTCACTTACCTCCCACCCACTGAGTGATTGGTCAAGTGCCAGGGAAACTGAAAAATAAATAAAATTCTATCTCACATTTGCAGGTGACACTAGTCAAGTAGTATTTTGGTTGTATTGGAACTAATTAATTACATATTTTACAGTAAAGTAAAAGTGCTTTGGCAGTGTTATGTATCTGAATAACACAAAATACAAAGTCATTATTTGATATGTATCTGCACAATGTAAGGACATATAGTAGGTAAGAAAAATTAAAACTCCAACTTCATTCTATAAAAGCATAAAGCATGAGTTGGTATGTCCCAACTCAGAGTATTTACATGTCAATATTCATTTACATTTTCAGTGCCACTAATTGCTAAGCTTTCATTAATAATCAAAGTATCACAACTGTAGATGCCAAGTTACAGTTATGATTAAAAGAAAAGCGGTCGTGAGCTTTTATTTTGAAGGGTGAGTTGGTTGGTTTCATGGGTGACGCCTTATTTATACTTTCAGTTGGCCTGACTAGTAATCCTCTAGTCCTGCTTTGTTTCTTTGTGGTCCGATTGCGATAGCTCTGTACATGAATCTTCTCTGTTGGCTGTTTCTAATGAAAAGTATGTGGAAGAGCAAATGTTATCTTGAATATACAGACACTGGTGTCGTCAGCAGAATTATGCTGATAACATGTTGGCTGAGTGTACTTGTGTGAGTTATATAATGTACTTTATGAAAAGGCTGTTTCAGATGTCAACACTGGAAGAGAATAAAGTTCAGACACTTCACTCTTCCCATACATGTTAGTACTGTTTTCTGTTCTAACCAAATAAAGGAAGTGTCGTGCTGAAAATGAATCAGCATGTGACTTCTTGTAAGTGACATTTCCTTCTGTCAGTTCTGGATATAAATGTTATTTTAACAAAACAACAGTGCTGACAAGCTCAAGCTGTGGCATGATTGTTGTGATCTTCACATGTGGTGGAAAAAATACTTTTTGGTAAAATTATGTGTTTCTGCACTGTTATGGTCAACGGACCTTGCCCTACTCTGCATGTGATGAGGTTTGCACAGTGTGGAATTTCAGTGAAGAATTTTCCACAAATAAAGAAGTATGCAATAGATTTTCCTTGTGGCACTAAAGGAACCTCAATATTAGATTTTAAAAAAAATAATAGATTTAACCTTGCAAAATGTATTCAGAAAAAAGATGAGTAAATTGTGATTTTTGTCCTGATGCAACAATTATTGATCTTGTTACTGTTGACATTTGACACAAAGCTTTTTCTTCTGAACTATTACGAGAGGAAAGCCTGCAACTTGTTTTGCATCTCAACATTAGCTGAAAATGAAAGGTTTAGTTCAAATGTCAAACAATTTTTAGTTCCAACATGAAACCAAAAGAAGGATATGGATATAGGATATAGGGAGAAAATCAAATCTCAGTTCTTGTACATAGAGAGAAAAAAAATTATGTTAATGTTAAATGTAAAACGTTAAAATGTACCTACCTATAGTGGTCTTCATCAGAGGGTGCTCTGGTGATGAAATTGACACTGAGATTAGTCAACTCCTGAAAATAAGTGTGTGTTAGCTTATTGCCTTTGGGTATTCAACAATGAACCTTTTTTGGTTTAGCACCAACAAAGTACTGGGGAGACGGTAACAGCTAAAATTGTGAAATGTGCCTTTAAGAGACTGTTGCCTAGAGATGAAGCAGACGACCACCCACCTAGAGCCGGGGTCTGTCCAAGGTTTCTGCCTCTTAAAAGGAAGTTTGCCCCCGTCGCCAAGGTCTTGCTCATGGTGGTACTGTTGGGTTTCTGTAATTAATGTTTTAAGGAGTTCGGTCTAGACCTGCTCTATTTGAAAAGTGTCCTGAGATAACTTCTGTTATGAATTGGCGCTATACAAATAAAATTGAATTGAATGCGAGAGAAGTGTCAGACAGCACCCAACCTGGTGTTGAGTTAGTTGAGCGGTACACCTGTTATGAATGGATGTCTGTTGCTACAACAGCTGTGTGTTTGTCTTTTCCCACTTCCTTCAAGCTAACATCAGCTCAACCAAGAAACACTTATTTCTTGAATTATAACAAATATTTTTCAATAAACAAAACAACAGCCGACCATGAGACGTTCAAAAACCATATTTCTGTGCGCCACACCTGTACCACTTAGTGTGCACCTTTATTAGACTTGTGGCCACCCACAGTTAAACACCTTTAAATATGGAAGATAAGAAGATAACACCTTCCTACAATTCCAACAACATTTAAAAAGCTGCATGTTAACAAATACAAACGATCAAAATGACTACTTCAACTGTGGGTGTAACCTTATCTTTCGTTCAACATCACATTGCGATACTCATAAAAAACTGACTTCAGTGAAAACCTGAACCGTGTAACAGGGCTGTACACATGTTTCTTTAGTATTGTGTGATATTTAGTTAAATGCATTATTCAGTATGAGACATTTAAGAGTGGGTCTTTGTGTGTGTTAGAGCACAACAAACTCATGTTCTTGTTTGCCCTTTGTTTTATATATTTTGTTATTGTTCTGCCCCCTTTGTTGTTTATATTTCATTTTGCAGATCTCTCTCTCTCTCCACACTCCTATCTGTTTTTCACAAGATGGTGGGGACTGCATGGCTTGGACTGTGTAAGACATTGTTTGTCATGGAGCACAAAGTGACCTCTGTAGTTGTGCACTGATTGGATTGTTGATAAGCAGTTGAGTTTTATGGCTGCACATTCTGCAGTGGAACAAGTTATAATGGAACATGTTTAATATATATTCTCTGTATTGTGCTGACTGAAGCTGTTTTATGTCTCTTTTCCAACAGCTGTCCAGAAACCCAAGTGAAGGACGAGCAGTGACTAATATAGGTATGCGTTGTGATTGCTAGACTGCGTCAGCCTAGTTGGTCGTGTGTACATACAATTCTTCATTTTGCAAAAAAGTTTATTCTCTTATAACAAAAGAACAGCATGTGCATGACTACATGGTCAAAAACTGTGCGCTCATCCACCTTCACTGATGAGCTCACCTATATCATTCCCTGCACCCATACGCCACCCAGTTTGCACAATATCACAAAAAATAAACAAATAATACATACATAAAAATGACAGCAACAGTATGTATACCAGTAACCATATGTTTATGATTTATGTTTATGAGTTATTATGGCCCCTTGTTGACAAGCTATAATCAACAATGGATGCCTTATGTTTTCAAGTTTAATATGATACCAGAATCTTCACTCTAGCGTTAAAACTGAGCCCTCTACAGCTTATAAAAGACTAATGTTGGTTACAGACATCCTAGTGCAGTTTAACAGCCCTGAATATGTACAGTATAACAGCAAAATGGGGAGATGAGAAAAAGGCTTACCCTTGTAAACCATCTCTCTGTGACAGACTGCTGTGAGGGGAAAATATAAATGGTAAATGGACTGTACTTATATAGCGCCTTTATAGTCTTTTGACCACTCTGTACACTACATGCCACACTCTCCCCATTCACACACATTCACTCAATGATGGCAAAGCCTATCAAATAGAAACTAACATTCATACACATTAACATACTGATGCACAGCATCAGGAGCAATTCGGGGTTCAGTATCTTGCTCAAGGATACTTCGACACGGCGGCAGGAAGTGCCGGGAAACGAACCCACAACCTTCCGATAAGGGGACGACCCGTCCTCAATGTAATGTGCGTTAGTTATAACAATTAACTAACAATTATTCAAAATATTATTGAAATCACAATATGCAAATTTCAGAAGCTGCAATTAGTTTGATAAAGGTAAAATATGTTGTATATAATTATAATAAGGTGTCTCAAGATTTAAGAAAACATGTTTGGTACAGACCCCAACTAATGTCACATTATCATAATTTTAATAGATTTCTTTCAATGAAAATTAAATTTGTGATGCAAATATTGTCATCTCCTGCACTAATAGTAAATTATATTGCAATAGTAATATCTATCAAAGTAATCACAATACAACACCATATAGTGCAGCCCTAGTTAGTTTCAGACATCTCCTTTCATTTAGGATCTCTTAGACCACTGTGCACTCTGAAATCTTTTTTCTTTAGGAATTTCCCATTTCATTATTTATGGACTTTGGGTTCTTCTTTTTATGGGGAAGCAGTTCATTAGCAATTTCCACCTTTATGCATACAATGTTAAGTCTTGAACTTGAGTTTATTTTTTTATGCATTTGTCTTCTTGTAGTCCATTATGAGCACATAACTTCCATAATCCCAACAGCATGTATATATGGCATACTCCTTCATTCTGCAGGCACAACAGGGGAAATATCACAAACAAATGCAGTTGTGTTCCACACAGTGAGTAACAGCCCCAGTTCACAAGCCTCCAATGTTCTTCAGTCCATTGTGTAACCAAAAGTTTTTCCCCCGCAAATATTATCAAAATCACTATGTACCATATGCACATTGCAGAAGCTGCAGTTGGTTTGGTAAAGGTAAAATGTTTGTCAAATCAGCATTATGTTAAAGTACTGTATAGTTCAGAAAAAGATACCCTACAAATCTTGTTGTAAGAAAACATGTCTGTTTGATGGTGATTTTTGTGTTGTGAGGCAGCCAACTCAGAGTTACACTGCAACATTAAAGGATCATTGTACCGAGGGAGACCTAGATGAACAATTGTTCATCTATGTATTTGATGGTGTATAAGGCAAGGCACTCTTAAAGTCTGGGAGAGAACAACCATGCTGAGGTCTTCTCTCCATGCTGCATGAAGTAAAGAGACTTGATTCATCACACTGGGTCTGTAACTACCAACTATCAATATTTAGAAGAATTTCTCGAACAATAGTTGAGGGACATTCATTCAAAGATAGTGAATTAAGAGTATGCTTTGTGGCAAAGGCACCATACTCTTCAGAATTGACTTGATAACTATAAACTCCAGAGAAATGTGAATATTATGTTTGTCAATTTATATTATTCACTGTTTACATTCAAAAGTTGGTTTAAAGTTTTTATCTTGTTCACAAACTAATTGTAAATATATTTTTGGTGTTTCTTGTTGTCTGTATGAGTAGCATTGTTCCACACAAGAGCCCTTCACAATAAAATGTTAGGCCTATGATTCATCCCTTGTACAGATCATAATCTTCTACTGCACATTACAAATATTCTTTATACTTAATACTGTGATCTTCTGCACATTCCTGCACAAAGGTCCTTCATTTAAATGAACAGCCATATTGTACATACTGTCTATTATTGTCTTTATAATATTGTATCATAACTGTTAATTTTCTGTGCTTTCTATTCATTCTTCTTGATGTACACTCCTTGATTTCCTTGTCCTGTGTTTATTGTTATGCACCAAAGAAATTCAAAGATTATGTGAAAACCTTCTAGGCAACAAAAAAACAAAAAACAAAAACAAAAAAAGGAAAATCGTTCATCAAACCAGGTGCTGCAGCAAAAACACCCCTGCTCCCATTTATTTTGAACATGGTTAGGCGACGAAACCATGTGTCCCAACATGTTACAGTTCAGGACACATAGTACCCATCCAGTGGATACTTTGAGGGATGATCAAAGAGTTTTGATGTCTCCAGTCAGGATGCTTTCTATTGCTCCTCTGTAGAAGTTAATGACAACTTGGCACAGGCATTTTCTGAAGTTTCAGAAAGAAATGTAGTCCTTTCTGTGATTTCCTCATGAAAGTGATGTGTAACATTACATGTTTCTGTTCTTTCTACATCACATTCCTTTGCATGTTGTTTATCAGGAACCTAAAAAAAAATGACATCATTTCATTAATTATAAGAAAAATCATTACTCCTTACTATTGTACACAGAACAGTATACTCAGTAATAACAGCAAAGAGAGTATAAAACATACCTGGGTGGATATGTCTGCATTCATTCCTGTAATAAAACATAACCAATGAAAATTAAAAACGTAATGATGTGACACACAATATCATTATTTATCAAAAACATCTCAGTGTTTTTTATGGTCTAAATGCAAATCATACCTGTGTTAAGACACCCTTTCTTCCTCCTGCAATGGTACAATACAAATGAAGCTGCTCCAATTAATAAAAAAAATCACTGCTCCTACAATAACAACACCAATCACAATCCCTGTTGGGTTTGAACTTTGTTCTCCACATTGAGCATTAGTTGAAACAGTTCCTGCTTTTATCAGCTGAAGATTCATTGATTCACATCTGGAATGACAGAGGGAGATTTTTTACAGGAACATTAGTAGGATCCAATGAATTCACTGCTGTTGGAAGAATCCAGGTGTCTGATGTGAAGCTTCACTTACTGTGTGTGTGGCTGACAGGATGGAAATGTTCCATCTGAATATGTTCCAGCACTGCAGACAGAGCACTCAGTGTCTGTTAATGCTGTTCCTGTACAGACACAAACCAGTTCAACAGAGACATTATGAAGAGATCAAAGTGTTAGATGACATCAGATGGCAGTTAGGGAGGGATTTGTCGTGGAAGCCAATAGCGCTGTGTGTCTCGTCCCTCAGTCCAGCAGCTGTAGCGGACCCATTAGCTGAGTGGGACTGGGAGCTCCGAGTATGTATACAGTATGTATACAGCATCTGACACCCACAGAGGACAGTTTGACGACAGAGAATAGTTTTTTGACGGTTTCACCAGATAATATTTTCACCATAAAATAAGATCCAGTTTCACCAAAATCACTGATTAGGCTGTGTTTTTGTACAGTTATCAGTAAGGTTAGTATATATCCATGCTCCACTCCAGCAGAAAGCCATACTGTTGCTAGCTAGCTAACTAATGAATCAATCTAAGCTATGTGTGGCTGACAGGTGAATGTCATGATATTATTGGTTGAAATCAGTTTGTTCATTTTGTGTTACAGAAAGACAAAATGAGCAGATTTTGATATAAAAATACAAAGGAAACGGGTTTTTGTAAATTTGTTGGCCCACATGGTTAAATAGCGGTATATCTATACCGTAAAATTTCTAATATTAGCCCAGGCATTTATTTGCTTAAATGACTGAACTCCCTCTGCCTTTATTGGGGACAGGCCTCTATTTGGGACAGGCGTTTAATTCTTTTAGCACAAATCTCAGGTGGAAAACCTCTCTAACTTTACTGCTTCTCTTGAGTTTCGTTAAGTAAATTTGACAACTTACAGTAAACTTTAGGTTGTCCATTTTTTCTCTATGCCAGCGCCATGACACTTAAACAATGTATGTTTTACGGCAGCCGGCGTACAATCAGTGAGCAACCGACTTCACATGATGATATTCACAACTCGGATTAATTTTAATGAAAGCCTTTGATTCTTTTGATCAGTGGACCAGGTGGGTTTTAAGATGTTTTATACATTCAGATCAATTCTATAAAATCCAGACCAGGCTTTTAAGGGCGACCTGTGTCTATTAGGGACCTCACCCTGCTTTTATTGGAAGTTTCATGGGATATAACTGAAATGCAATCTTAAAAGGTTACAAACATTTGTAATTGCACAAGTAAACCCACCGTTCTGTCTGATGTATTGTCCTGGTTGACAGAGTGTTTGTCTCTGTGCTGACATACAGCCGTCCTCTGCAGAGTCCAAACAGTAGAATCCCTCCAGTGGTTCACAAACTGTATCTGATGTTGTTGTACATGATGTCTTTATCTTCAAACCAGAACCTGTCAACACATACACAGGTTACACATGGAGACACAGAACTATTTGTAGTTTCATCAATACAAAAGCAGTAATGTGCAGCAACTCATCAAAATGAGTCTGTGCATCTTCACACTGACAACCAATCTTCAACAGTGTGGTCAGTTCTTCCACAGCATTAACAGTGGGACTTGCAGTAATAAGCCTACTTACTGCCTTTAAATCTTAGTCACAAGTTTCTACTAATAACCAGGAAATATGAACAGAACTCTACCTGCATCACAGATTGTACAGGAGAAACATTGTGTCCGTCCTGTAGGATGATTCATGAAGGTTCCCTCAGTGCAGGACAGACAGGAAGTACTCCTGAACTCTGTGCAATCTGTTTTAACTCGACTTCCTGTTCGAGAGAAAAACTATAAAATTTCAATGTTTCTATTAAAATGAAAATGTATCATCTTGAGAGTAAAGTGCATGTTGTGAGCTTGGCAAAGTGACATATACTGCTGTCTACTACAGTGTCATTCTTCTTTCTACCACCAGATGAAGCTCAAGTTTAAAAAAATATATTTAAAACAATATACAAATGTCAGCTTGTTGTTTTACTGTTGGAATAAAACTCCAGTCAGAGTCCTTCACAGATACATTTCACTGGTGAACATAAACAGCACCAACCATGGGAGTCAGACTGACTCCACTGATCTGCACACAGTGTCTGCACCTGGCAGTAGAACTAAAGACTCCATATGGAACTACCAAAGTGAAATATCCTTCAATATTCAATACCATGAAGACACTTAGGACAGCATTCATTCCCTCTCTGATACTCTGATGGATGACATGGTAGTGCATGTCCTCTGAAGATATTCATCACAAGAATCTGTGAAGAGTAAGAAAGAGATTTTAGTTTAACCTTTGCAGGTGAGTTATAGCAGGAAGTCACATGATAATGAGGTCACATTTGTGTCACTGGAGCCATAAGAATAAAGTCACTGTGCAGAATGTGGATCAAATACACATTCACACATTCCTGTGATGCAGCCCCACCCCTGGGTGGCGAGTCTGTGTTATGATGTAGGTACACTAATGTTTCCTATATGTGGAGTGTTTTTTCCCAAACCCCCAACATCCTACCACTGAAAAGGCACTCTCTTTCTATATCTGAAAACTGCTCCATCTGAACCTTTAGCTCATCTACTCTCTTCTCCTACAGAGGTTAAAGGCAGGACAGCTGCTCAACCCTCAGTAGAGCTGATGAAGACTCTGATGAAGAGTAATCTGATGTATGAATTGCTGCAAAGCAAATAAAAGCTGACTGTAATAACAAATGATTTTACCAGCAATGGTGCAGCTGTCAAAGGTTTTCTTCCAAACATCATTTTCTACTGCTGGATCACAGTTTTCATGGACTGAAGACGTCATCTCACTGAGAGTAAAATCCAACAGGAGGACACCATCTGTAAACTGAAAGAACACATATTCATGTAGAGATCACAGATTAGAGATTACTGATAAACAAATTAACTTGGCACCATTAATGTAAGATCACACACACATACACACTTCGATTTGTCTTTGAACACAACCACACACATAGAGAGGAAAGTCAAACTTCCTGTTCCACATGATCCCTCTCTGACCAACACGGGTTTCATGACCAGCAGAACTTTTTGTTAGAACAAAGACCCTCATTCTTTCTGCCATGAAACTACACAAGCACACCTCGATTTGGCCTTAAAAACAACCACACCGATTTAAAAGCTTAATCAATTGAGAAAGCCACCAGAACAATGATCATCAACATTGTCCGGGTTTGCCTATCCCTTCATGGTCGATAAATAAAAGTTAGGGGGAAAAACAAACGGGATTAGAACTACATTTCGACATTATTAATTAACTGCACAGGATTTCCGCATTTGACTTGTGTGTTGTGCAGTACAGTCGCCATTTGTTTTCCTTGGGTAGCGATCATTCACAACATCTTGACCTTAACTAAACTATGAGATTAAGCTGTGCCATAACAACACATACACTACAGGCTTCAAAAATGAATAATAACGTATAATATTAAAGAATATATATCATCAAAAATACGGATATTTACTGTTAAGTTGAGCTGTAGGCCACGCCCCTATCTGCCTGAATGCACCAGGTGAAGATGATTTCTTCTTCTTCTTTTAGATTTGACTGGCGGCTGGCATCCAGCTTATAGGTACATTGCCGCCACCTACCGGACTGGAGTGTGGTACATAAGATGACAGAGGGAAAAAAAACAAAAAACTATCCATCCATATATTAAACCCTATCCTTTAACCCTGTTTCCCTCAAGTACTTACTCACATACCTCCTAATGCTTTCTAAGCCTTGCAACATGTTCCCTACTGTGATGCTCAATTTTTCCCTTTGCAGTGCTGCTTTTAGTTCTCTCCTCTCTCTCTCATATCCCTTGCATTCCATAAGAACATGCTGCACAGATTCAATCCAATCCAATCCAACTTTTTTTGTTAAGCACTTTAAAAACAACCAAAGTTGACCAAAGTGCTGTACAGGAGAATAAATAAGACATCATAAATGTAAGCAGTGGTGATGATGAAGACCACTGTGAGAAACATAGACAGTGATGGCGATAACACTGGAAAGTTCCCGTGGCATATGGACGAAGTCCGACGGCGACGAGCTCGTCCGGGCTGCAGACGCTCTTTCACACAGACGTGCCCGGCGTTACACCACCTGTTGTTTATGAGCACAGACAGTCCCCCTCCTTTTAGTCCATGAGCCAGGGGGGTTGATCGGTATCATCGGGGGGACAAATGCTATCATTGTTTTTTGGCAAGGTATGTACCCCTAGTACTAGAAAAATCACGATAGCAGTGCAGGGGTGGTAGCGAAATCACTTTTTTCAGCTCATGAAGTTACTAACCCCCTAAGAAAAATTCCGTTTTTGAAATCTGGTGTATATCTGGTTTAGGCTCATGGTAGGGATATTGTCAATATTCTATAATATGGTGCTTGGTATCGTTGGAAAGGGGACCTTTTAGGCTTTCATTTAAGCCCAGTACTGAATCTGTCTGACAAACACAGAGGTCACATGACTTCTTTAAACCAGAAATAACACACATTTTCTCACAATTTCTGCCTGAACTGTATGCTTTCTTTTATCCCTGGGGCATGAAAGAACACCAGGGACACAAAACTCAACAACGTCAATACTCAAGGCACTCTGATGATTCAGAAAATGTATAATATACCCATACTATTTATTTGTGAGAGCCTTAAATTAGACTTGTGCAGCCAGCACAAGTCTTCAAAATAGAATAGAGCGAATAGAATGGACAAATAGGATGGAGCCCTACTAGTTGTAAAAGTCAATAAAGAAACAGGTTGTAAAGTCAATATATTTAAGCAAAGACTGGTTTGTATGTTGATAGCCATTATTTTATTATCTAATCATCATCATTCTCCATGTCATCCTCGTCTTAATCTGAACTTTCTACACAGGTCGCCTGGTTTTCACACTTTGTCAGTTTACACATGTCTGTGCACCTGAGGCCATTTGCAAGACACATACATCGAGTGAACATTTTTTTGTGCAGTTGCAGGAGAGTAGATCCAGGAGAGCTTCAGGTGCCTTCCATCCAGTGCAGCACCAACTGTTCACCTTCCTCCCCTGTCTCCATCTTCCATCCTCTGCCAACAGGGCTTGGTACTGTGGGTCCTTTTCTAAACATCTTCTCCAAATACCAGCCTGATAGTTAGCTCGCAGTGTGTGTTGCCTCCAGTGTTGGGCAAGTTACTTTAAAAAAGTAATTAGTTACAGTTACTAGTTACTTCTTCCAAAAAGTAACTAAATTAGTTACTTAGTTACAAATTATAAAAGTAACTAGTTACTTCAGAAAGTAACTATTGCGTTACTTTCAAGTACATTTTTAAATGCTCAAATGTGACCCCACCTTCACCCCTCTTTAACTGAACTTAAAATACATGTGCATGTTCAATTATTTATGATAAATCTGAATATTATAATGAAATGGACACTTAATACAATCCATTATTAACAGAAACAATGTACACAAATCTAAACTATTTTAATGTTGCTGTGGGACAAAGTGAGACTAGCCTCCAATCAAATGCCATGTATGTAGATATTATGTTTATATGGTGGATCGATACAAATAACACAATAGATGTTTTGGAACTTTTGATATTTATTGCCCCTCAACAGGCCACAACTGGGCAAAATTAAATTATGCTTGTTAAGCACTATACCAAAAATAAATAACAAATATATACACTCTTTGTAGTGCAAATAAAACAAAAAAAAACTTCAGACAATTGGTAGATATACTGTACTTAAAGTATTTTCTTCCTCGAAAAAGTAGAACAGTGTAACAATATGAGGTGCTTTCGATCTAACATAATAATAATAATAGCATAATGTGCATTTCACGGTTACATTCGTTCCTTTAATTTCTTGGAGGGAACAGTAATGGCTATACTTCCATTTAGAGAAGGCTACTTTTGGATTATTTGGGCTCGCCATACCTGTCTCTCGTTGACTGACTCGCTTGTGTTGTTCGTTGTGTGTCCGACTATGCATGCTTTCGAACACCCGCCCAACTCTACCTCTGATTGGCTCACCATGACATTTTACTCAACCTCAGCCAATCGTCAGCATTTATGCGCTTGTCTCGTGCACTGCCCACTAACCAAGGAAGAACAGTAAAAGAAAGTCTTTGCCTCTCGGCTCAGAGATCTAGTTGGTCTGATAAAAAAAAACAGCTTCAATTATAATAACGCGCCGCATTTTTTGAGCTTGTTGATCATGGTGGTTGATGCTTTTGGGGCATAGAGGACACATGTAAATGCCTCCAGTTTGTTGCTCAGTTCTGGTGAGAGGTCCCATTCTTGGCCCAACTTCAAGAATGTGTCTTGTGTTTCTTTGTTGTTCATCAGGAGTGTAAGTGCCCTTGTCTTCCCTTTGCCTGCAAAAGCGCTTACAGTGTCACATCCTGTGTATGCAATGCAACCCAATGAGAGCCCTACAAGTGTCCATGCCAACAGTGGCTGCAACCTTCCTGATAGCTACCAGCCTTGTACAGGTTCTTGTGCCACACTTCAGGAACAATGGGGCCTAAATCTTGTCACAGAAGGCTAAAGACATGATAAAGACATCTGTGTCTTCTGAACAGATAACTATAGATTGGTATCCCTCTCTTGCGGCATGGGCGGCATGGAGAAGTAGTCGTCCATCTGCTTCTTCTTGTTGACATTGAAGAGTTGACACCTCCTCACTGTCTTGATATGTAGAGATCTTACACTATCCTTGATTGAGTTCTGCTTGTATGTGTCGAACACAACATTTATATGGAGGACTGAAAGTGCCACAATTAAATAAATAAATACACCATTAAATAATTACTTAAATGTGTCATTAATTAATTAAAATTGGAATTAAATACATAAATGTGTTATTAAAGGTGTCATTAATTAATTCAAATACCGATTCATTTTATGTAAAATACATATATAATTATTTCACTATTTACATTTACATTTCATGGTCCTGCGTTGCAGTGCTTCATGAATTACTTTAATCTGTCAAACTCACCCATCAAAAGTTGGTAGGCGGAACCTAACGCCTGATTGGTTACCCTGCGCATCAAGCCAAGACAAATCAATTCCAGATAATGGATCGATGCAGAGCTAGTGAACACATTCCAATACACTGGGTGGCGCTATTGGACTACTTCTTCTAAATCTGCAGTCACTCTGTGGTCAATATATCGGTCAGAAAGTGCGGAAATAACTCCAAGAACTTCAATAAGTTCCTCTGCTTTACTCGCTACATGCTCTGGGTCAGCAGCTCCTGCTTCCACATCCTCTGCTAAGTCTAAAAATAAAATAAAGTGTTTAACTTTGAAAAATAAAGTGTAGCAGCAGCTTGAGTTTCCCTTTTTCTTTGTTAACTGTTTCATATCTTGATTAACAGTCTCAACAAATTTTATAAATGAATATCAACACATCTTTACAATTGAACAGTTTCTCTTTCTTTCCCTTTTATATCTTTCTACACACTTTCTGTTGTTCAGTGAGAGAATTGAGCTCTAACCTCTCTCCCTCGTTGGGCAGTGAATGAATGGGTCAGGATCAGTGTTGGTCATCTTACTTTAAAAAAGTAATTAGTTATAGTTACAAATTACTTATCCCAAAAAGTAACTGCGTTAGTAACTCAGTTACCACATTGTAAAAGTAATTAGTTACTCAGCAAAGTAACTGTGACGTTAGTTTTTATGGTCTATAATTACATTCTATAACATCTTCTATAACGTTAAAGATGTCCCCTGTGGTGTTCCATTTTCAACCATATATACTGGTGAGTACTCATTATGGGCATAACTCTTTCCCTACTCTGACCTCTATCGTCCTCCCAAACAGGAAGCCCAACACCCAGTTATATATCTTACCTCCTACTCCCAACTTATCCAGTTTGATTAGCAGGCCTTCTTTCCACCACATGTCAAACACTTTCTCTATGTCAAAAAACACAGCAACCACTATCTCTTTATTTGTCTGTGCTTTCCTAATTTCTGATTCTAAGCACAATACTGAGTCAAGCTAAAAGTAATTTGATAAATGTGATTTGTGTATCTAAAAGATGTAAAAGCTGCTAAGATCATTAGGTTAAAATCATCACCAACAACAGCGATTTTAAAATGTATTTAATTTATTTTGGGTGCTTCAAATGTTGGTTTACTACTTATTTTTAGTAGGTAAAAAATTTTGCATTTGAGTTTGGATTATGGTGATTGATTATGGTTTCTACATTTTATTGTGTTTGTATTTAAGGTTTTTCACCTGCTATTGGCCTTGGGAACTTTCAAATAAAAGAAAGAAAGCTGAATCTTGGTCATTGAGTGAATTCCAGTAACAATCTTCTGAAGCAAGCTGCCTTTTCAAGTGGGGGTAACTGCATGTCAAACCTCACAAGAGTGAGGGCCACTTGACACTTATTCTGTGATAATGCTGACAAAGCCATGTCATGATCGTGAAGTCTCGTGATCTAAGAGGGCTCAAAGATTGGCTCTTAGCTTTGACCAAAAACTCCACGTTTTAAAGAAATCCGGATGTACTGTGTGATTAGAATATTTAAATTTGTGCATTAAATGTTTAACAA